CCTAAAACCTCCTAAATGCATTTCAAACATTCTTTTTTTCAGTAAAACTTTATAGTTTATCTGTTGTTTTCTCTACCCTATCTCAAAACGGGATCTGTCAATTCCACTGACCTCATAACCACTAAAAAAAATCTAAATAACCCTAAATTAACCTTCTTTTTTTTCTAGAATGACTTAAAATTGTAATATGAAACTACATTCACTTATCCTAAGTAGCTATAAGTTCATAACAGTATACATCTGTTTATAATTAAATTTTATTGTTTTATTGCCCTTTGAACTGTATTTAACTACCATCCGTGCCATTATAAGTTGTAAATCACTTGGGGAATGTGCAGCTCATGTTACGCTATTTAATACATTACCCATGAGCTGCTTACTGTTTGCATCATGAACCATTTTAATTGTATTATTATTATTATTATTACTTATTTTACCTAATCTAGTCTTAAATATCTTTAAAAGATCTGTAATTTTAGATTTTAGTTGTTTTACAATAATAAATAAAGAATAAATATGAAAAACAAGAAATAAAGTACGTATCTTTTCTCTTGCTGTCTGGTTTCAAAGAGAGCTAACCCTAATTTTTATATTATAGATAGTAATGCACTTAATAATTTTCATTTAATTAAATAATGCACCAAAGAATATACACTAATAACATGCAAAAAAGTAGACAAATTCACTTACCTCTCAAAATTTTTCTGGCTTTCTAACTATGCAACAAGAGCCGTTACAAATTCATCCAAGCTAGTCGTTAACTTTTCTACGGAAATGATATTCGTACTCTGAATGAAATTGAAATTTAACTATTCAGAACATAACATTATACAATACATTATTTCATAGCTGAAAATCTTGAATTTCTATTGGTTATAGATAATATATAATGAAACGTAAGAGAGAACTATCAACGAATTGTGAAAGAGAGCATGTGGCAGGAGGGGTCTGATTTTTTATTCAATAGCTCTGTAACTAAACAAAACTTAAGGCTATAAAAATTATGGTTTGTTTGAGCAATTACGATTTTGTAGAAAGTATTTTACGTTTAATTTTTTACTTTTTCAAGGGGTGGTGGAGAAAACAGGGATGATGACATGGTAAGATAAAATGTGTCACGTGGGTCACACTAGTGGAAATTTAGGATTTTTTTAAATATTGCCTTGTAGAATTAAGAACTTAAAACTTGTATACTATTAAAATATGGATTATTGGCTAAGATTTTATGCAATTCTATTTACGTGAACAAAAAGTAGTTTAATATAAGACACTAAAACCTTGTGTCGTGCAATAAAGGATACTCCGGGTGATAGGGTTAATAGATGTGTGATTTTAGTTTCTGCATAGACAGGAAACTGTGGTATCGGTAAGTTCAACTGTTGTTTACATAGGTAAAGAAAGTTTGAGATATTTATAACAGACATGTGTCAAACACTTGCCACAAAATGTAAATGTGTTTGATATTGGTGATGACTGTAAACTCAATTTCATTGTTAGAACACTAAAAGTAATGCATTTTTGACTTTTTCATGTTCATGAATGTATCTATAGAATGCAATTTTTTTGTGTGAACTCTGAACTCAGTGTGTGTAGTATTTATGGTTGCAGGTTATTGAGGACCCTGTAGATGATGTATTATAGAACCAGGAATTTTGTTTATTAAAACATAAACATGTTATTTTTCATATGTCAATACATTGTACATAATTTTTTTGTGAGACTTATTGAATTCCATATTTTATTTTCTTTGTGTCAGCAATTTTTAAAAGAGCAACTCAAAAGACCCTTGAATAGTGTAAGTTGAATAAAGATGGAAATGCTTTCTGCTATCAATAGTTGCCTTTTCACCAGAATTGTGGTAGAACATTTTTAAAGTGTGTTTTGTTAGGAAAATGTAGATTTATTCAGAAACTTAAAGAATTTTAGGTACCTTACAGAAACTTTGCTTAGTTCTTTGGACCCTCTTTTTGTAAAGTGGACTAAGTTTTCAAAATTAATTTATTAAAGGCACGAAATGTTTCTTGGAATAGTTCAGATAATTTGAGTAAACTGTGCTTGTGCAGATGATTAAAATACTTTGGCTATTTAATGTTGGTCATTGCCTGACCTATTGTATAGAAATATAACATTTTAATTAGGTATAATATATTTCTAACATTTTTTGTTGTCACTGTTTGTATTCTCTTTCATGATTTTTAAAAATGTTCTTAAATTTGGAAGGAAGTTATGTCTGATCTAAAAATTTACAAAAAAATATTACCCTTCTACTTTAACCAATTGCACAAGTTTTAAGCAACATCAATAGTAATCAGTAACTACTCCATGGTGCTATCAATCACTCTTTATTATTCCTTATCAAATTACCACATATCTTATATGAATTTCATTTTTGTGGGAAATCTGTTAGTTTCTCCAAATCAATATAACAAAAACATTATACTTCTAATGTATTTAAAATAACACTAAAAGTTGTGAACTTTATAAAACAAACTTTGCAAGTCTGTTTCATACTTCAGTGAATAAAGTGTCTTAGGTATCTTTCTAGACTTTAGTGTCAAATAGTACAGGTGTAGTGCTATATTTCATCATTTTCATTAAAAATTTTTGTCTTGTATAAAGTATTTATTCCATTTGAATAATGTCTCTTTTATGTCATAGTTCCTTAAGTGTCCTTGTACCTCACAGAAGAACATCTTCATCTACTCTGTGATATAATACAGTGTATAGATTGCTGACAGTTATTTTGAGTAGTTTGAATTAATCATTTAGTCTTGCAGTGTTAAACACTAAAGATTTGGACCATTTACTTGTTTTAAAATGATTCATTGAATGTCAGTCAGATTGTAACTATATTGTGTTATCAAGGTCTTAGTTCAGAATTCTTAAATTCAAACACTAAAATAACTGTCAGTCTTTCAATAAATTAAATCTTTAACACTTTTTCTAAAAAGAATATTGAAGCAGTTGCAATATCAGTTGCATGTGGAACATAAACTGTAAATGTTTTTGGCAATGAAACATAAAACAAATAAGAATTTGACACAGATAAAAATATTCACAACTGGATGCATCAGATAGTTATAATAAAATATAGAAAATGAAAAAAGAACTTTAATTTATCAGGTTCTCACTTCCTTTAGAAGAAGCTATAAAAGAGAATATGTCACTCACTCAAAATTCATGGAGATACAACATTTTGAATTTCACAAACCAGGTGAAGAGAGAAAGGAAAGTTTAACTTTTTTCTTTAAAATGATACTCATGGTTGTTGTTCTCAATAAAGGCCTGGTCTTTTCATTGGATTCATGTTTGAGTACAGTACGTTTCATTTCTGTTAACAAAAGAAAAGTAGTTTTAAAATACCAAATTGTGTTTGTTAAAATTAAGGTATTAGGAAGAACATTTAATTTTGTTTGCCATTTTGTATGCAAACTAAGAATTAAGACTAAATTTTAAACAAGTGAATTAGTAACAAAACAAATTTCTTCATTTCTTATTGTAAACCTTCTTAAAATTAATGTAATAGCATATCAAAATTACTTTCCAGTCATCTGTATATACAGATTATGCAAAAACATTTTTAACATTAACATAACCTTTTCCAATATATACCTATAAAAGAACAAAAACCTGATTATAAAAATACTTGATATGACTCATAGCCATTATTGACAAAAATTGTTTTGTTAGTGGACAGCACTGAATTTGATCAAAATTAAAAGTATCCTAAAAATTATTTTTAAGAAAAAAATTAGAGATATTAGGATTATCAGACATCTATAAATTATTTATTTTTACCCAAATATTCATAAAGATAATTCCATGTTATGTTATCAAATATATTCTTCAACAGGCAGATTATCTGTGATTGTGATTAAGTTTGCATCTTTCAAACTTCTGATGACTCCAAGTCTAGATATTTAATAAAAGAAATAGTAATACATTCCCTTGATTATTTTTTTGTCAGATTTCTGTCTAATGTGAAAGATATAGTTTCAGATGTGCCAATTTCATAGTAACAGAAGATTATCACAATAAAATAAGTCTCAATAGTGTACTGCAGTGAAGTTATTATTCCACTATGAACTTAGTGTATTGTATTTTGTATTGAGACACAACTAATTCACATTTAATGAGGTTTTTATAACATACATTATTTCAGATGAGTTTTTTTACAGGTGAAATTAAAAGGTACAGACAGAGGCATGAAATGATTCCTTTTGCACTGTACTATCTTGTATGCTGGAAGCTGAGAAACATTTTTTATCACACATAGCAGAGCTTTACATTTCTTTGTGTATTTTACTGTTAAACTGCAATATTACTACATTTCTGCAACAGATAAACAGTATCATTCTTTACCTACCTCTCATATGTTCATAGTATCTGAAATATTTATATTATTGAGTCCATCAGACTTGTTCTTTTAGTAATGCAAGTGATGTCTTCTTAAGCGAATGTGGTATATTGTGTGTTGGATGTGAAAAATACAAGTATTCACATAAATGTTATTTAATGAAATACCTAGTGCTATTTGTCATTGTAATGAGCCATAAATCTCCCAAAAAGTCACCCTTGCCATCATGTAATTCTGAGATGTTGATAAGTTATATAATGTCATGGAAAGGCATTCCATTCTCTTGCGTACATATCCACAAAGAACACATTTGTTTTCCATTTCCCTTTTGGTCTCAGTCTTAGCAATAAGTTCAGATGATGTTTTCCTTTTTGTTGTTTTATTGAAAACTGAAAATTAAGTAGTTTTCTAGCTCACTATCCTATATTAATTATAATATTTAATTTTCAATTTTGATTTGCTTTTATATCTTTAATTTTGTCTTGTTCATGTTTTATTAGGAATTTTATATACAGTTGTAGCTAGGCTTACTTTTTCTATTTGTTGTTGTTGATATAATTCATGATTAAACATTGAAGTTTTCATTAACAATTTTGAAAGTTTGAAAGTAAGATTTATTTGCAATATGTATTTTCCCATTTAGATTGCCATCAAGAAAATGATATCAAGCCCCGGGACCCGATCCGTTGTAGGGAATGTGGTTACAGAATTATGTACAAGAAGAGAACTAAAAGATGTATCCTTTGTTTTAAAATTTTCTAATTAAAAAATAATAGTGACTATTTATGATAATGAAACGTACTAATTTCTGCTGATTATTTTTAGCATTGTCATACTTAGTGTGTATTGTCTTAAGTTATAGAAAATAGATTGAGCAATTATCCTGAACTCTTTCCTAGTAATTGTGTTTGATGCACGCTAAAATGGATGTTAAGTGGAGAGCCCAGATACAAGTGTCATTACCTTTCAACATGCTTCATACTTGGTTCAAATGAAAGATCTTGTGTTGTATAACTTGTATTCATTTGTATATGTTTAGAGTAAATAAATATCTTATTTCTTTGATAATGCAATGCTACATGATGTTTTTTTTTAGCATTAGTCCATAATCCAAAGCATTATTAAATCATGAAAAACTGTTGTGAATAGGCTTAAATTTCTCATAACACCCATTATTGTCACCTGGTTATAATGTCATTCATGTAGTGACTGAAAATGATTGCTGATCTGCATTAAAACATGTAGTAGGTCTTCTCCCGTATTCTCAACATAAAATACCTTCTAAATTACTGCAGATGACTTTGATGAACCCCAAAATGGTGGTAGAGGAACAACACCAGTGATTTCAGAGGACACTATATTGTTTTTGCCTTTCTCTTCTTTGAGATATTTCTTTTTCACCAGTGCCAATGAGTTGTTCAGTAAACAGACTGCACTTATATAATTAATGATTCACTTTCTTTGATAGAGACATTGTGTTCATGAAGCACTTCAAAGTATTCAGCAGCAGCAAGGACAGGATGCTCACCAAACAGCTTTTTTAGAAAAACTGTAAGATTTGGAGTTTTTACTGTCACATCTGAATATACAGTTATCTTTGATGTTCATTACAGTGAAGATTTTCTGTCAGAGTATTAGTTTTAAAATGTACATTTGAATATCATGGATTCATTGACCAAATAACATTTAAAAAAGCAGATCTGCCTCTCTTCTCCTACTCTAGCTTCTTCCACATATTCAGTTACATTGCAATAGTCATTCCTTGTATTCATATTAATTGTAACAGTCCACCAAGCCCTCTTATTGTGTTACTTCAATCTTTTTTCTTATGCATCTTATTGACATCTAGGGCCTTCATTTTTATGTCACAGTTATGTCTTTGGATTCAAGGTTTTGTGGTTCATGCCCCATTACTATGAAAAAAAAAAGAATGGGGTGAGGGCCAGCTGACCCAAGCTGTCTAAATTTGATGAACAGAAAGATGTCATATGAAAGATTTGCCCAAAGCCAGAACTGGGACAAAGGCAACTGGGCAGTCTGTCTTGGCCAACTTCTCACAGAAAAAGGCCTACAAGTGTATTTTGGCATGATGTCACCGAAGAAAAGTTCAAAATAGCCTTGCTGACAAGTTTCCCATAGCAAGAATAAAGGTGGATATTCCATACTATGTGGAAGACCTTGAAGGCACCCATTTATGACTTAGTGATTGGCAATATACCAGCCAGTACAAATTTCGAGGAACAAGACAGAAAAAAATCTGAGGCATCTGCAGTTACCACAAGAACTCAGGAAAAGACAAGCAAGCCCCTGCAAGTCTCAAAAGGTGACATCCCAAATGTAGGTCTACAGGACCCAAAAGAAGCACAGAAGAAAGACCCTTCACTGCAAAAACTTTGGGACAGTGCCAAGGAGAAAGTAGAGCACAAGACCAAAGGGAAGAGGACTCACAGAACAGAGGGTCAAAGAGAAGTACTGTAATGGATTTATCAAAGTAGTTCTACTGGGGAAGTTAAACAGATCATAGTATCAACAGAATACTGAACTCAAATGATGAGAAGTTGGCTCACTAGTCAACTGTGGGAGAACACCTAGGAGCAAAGAAATTGGCAGATGGAATCATCAGCAACCTTCATTGGCCAAGGGTCATTGGAGGTATGACATGGTTCTGCAGGTCATGTGACACCTGCCAAAGGACAATACCTAGAGGGAGGGTAGCCAGGATGTCACTGAGTGAGATGCCTCACATAGAAGAGCCATTCAGGAGTGTATCTGTGGACTTGATCGGACCACTAGCACCTGTATCTGACAAGAGCAACTGGTACTTGCTGACAGTAGTCGACTATGGAACATGTTATCTAGAGACCAAAGAATTGCCAAAGATGAGAGACAAAGAGAGTAGTAGAAGCCCTCCTGGAAGTGTTCTGTAAAGTAGGCTTTCCAGAAAGGGCTGTGGACAGAAGAAGAAGAAGAGTCAAAAGTAAGAAACACATACCAGTATGTATTAGACCTCAGAAACTGACTGGAGGAGACCTGTCAACTCACTTGAGAGAGCTTGTATGCAGCTCAAGGCAGTCAGAAGCACTTCTATGACAAGAAGGCCAAGGACCGACATTTCACTTCAGACTAAGGGTCTTGGTTCTGCTGCCTACAGACAACAACAAACTCACCCTGCAATGGAAAGGACTTTTAAGATGCAGGATGTGGTCAACAGAATGGACTATAAGATGAAAGTGGATGGGAAGACAGATCTATCATGCCAATCTGTTGAACAGTTACTTTGAGAGGGAAGAAGACATAATGGGTGCAACTACTGAGGCACAGATGGACATTGCAGATGTGGCTGTCATAGATGCAGAACCAGAAGATAGTGACTTTGTCATAGAAGATGAAGAACTGCTAGACCTAAGACTTTGTTTTAACTCTTTCTGTTGTTACACTAGTTAATGACAAAGTTATTGCTCTTTACTGGAGACAACCATGAGTATCTACCGCAGAAAGATCAAACAAATATCTTGCTGGCAGCTTTCACCACTTCTCACACACGTCTATAATTGTACTGCCCACTAGAAATGTTAGGTTTGTCTGTTTGTACTATGAAATCAACAGTGTTTACATTTCAGATGGAACCAATGCTCTCCCCTTTGGGTGATTGTCTTGGTGAATTTACAGATGAGCTTGATGGACATTACATCACATCATGGGTCAGTGGTGGACCTAAGAACTATGGATACTTATTTTATAATGGAAAGTCGTGTTGTAAAATTGGAGAGTTTACTCTCAATTTTATTAACAGTGAGAAGTTAAAATTCTCTTCAATGAAGAGTAAAAACTTTGATATTTTTTAGGCCTTCTCAGTATGCTATTAAAATAATGAATGAATTGAAAACATGCCAGGATATGAAAACTATCTATCATTGTTATGTATTTATTTTAATACGAACGCTGTTTAGATTAAGTTTATATTTTAAAACATGCGTAGCTTATAGTGTTAAATATGTATTGCAAAACTCCCACCTTTTCTCTAAAGTTTTAGAATATTCTTGAGAGAAAGAATCAACAATATATCTATATACTTAAACGTTTAAATGTAGCTCAGTATTGTTACATAAGACCGAATTTTCTAGAAAACCTTCCCATGGCTATAAATATAACCAACGCGCGGTGCCAAGGAGAGTATCTATTATTAGTTCGCTATAATCATTGTGCTATAATCTTCGAAAGCTATAACTGTGATTTTCATAATGCTTATCAATCGAAAAACTTAAGATATTTGACCAGGAATATTTATCAATTTCAAACATTACAAATCGTCTAACTTCAGTGGATTCACATCATACATTAATACTTTTACGAAAACATTACCTAACATAATCTGTGGAAACTCAATCTCTAATAGGCATATGAACAGTGAAGATTACAGGACTAGCTAGCTCCCTGTTAAGTGAATTGTGCGTATGTCAACTCGAAATTAATTTGCTCATCGTGAGCCCTCTTTATGATATCAAGGAAGTTCCAGACTAGAAAGAAGACTTTATGTTGTTTGTAAGTTTGTGAAACTTTTGTTTATAAATAATATGTAATAACTATTTGTAATAATTGTTACTGTAAATTGTACTGTTGTATGTATATTAAAAGTATTTTTGTTAAAAACAAAGACTGTGTGTGTATCAATCTTGTTGGTAAATATCATAAATTGACTAATATATCAGCATATATTTAAATACTAAATCCAAAGTACAATTCAACTACTAAATTTAAATTATCAGTTAACTTAGCTTCCGACTATTCAAAATTCTAATACGTAACAATCATTAACAAAACAAAATCAAAAATACTGCCCCATTTATACTAAAAAACATTTTATCCAATGTCAATACACTGCCATCAAGTTATCAAATTTAAATTATTTATTTTACTTAATGAGAGGCTGGTCCTTTATATATAAAACAAATCATATTGTATGTATTATCATTGTAATTCAAGATTTACAACATCCCTTCACTTGCTTAGTGTCATGTCTAACTGGAAGTGGTAAAACTGAATTTGTTAACAATGTATTATCAAATTATTGTGTTATTATTTACCCTACTCTAGAAAACATTGTATGATTCTATAGTGAATTTCAACAGTTGTATACTAACTTAAAGCAAATCATATCTAACATACATTTTGTCGAAGGTTTAACTGAAAATTTTCGTGATTATTTAGAACTTAAAAAGCCAAATATTTTTGTAGTTGATGATCTTAGATGTGAAAGTGGAGAAAATAAGAAAATGTCCCAACTTTTTACACGTGGAATTTGAATTTATCCGAGTTTTATATTGTACAGAATCTATTTCATCAGGGTAGAGAAATGTGGAACATAAGTTTAAACTCTAAATATTTTTTTGTTCAGCTGAATGTTTTAGCATGACAAATGTTTATGACACTTGTCAACTACTTTGAAACGTATCAAGATGCAAATCGGCCACCGTTTGGTTATCTAATCATTGATTTGAAACTGCAAACTCCTGACCATTTACATTTAAGAATTTGTTTATTTCCAAGAGATGAAACTCTAGTGTTCTTGCACAAGTGATATATCTCCATACTTCATCATTACTTTGGACATAGTAGATACTGAAGGATGAACCATATGTTATTACAGAACTAGCATTCTAATGTTTATTCAGCAGTTATATAGGTGTTTTTCTTTAAACAACCATTTTTGATGTAGTTTCTTTTAGATACAGACCATCACCAGTATAGTTTATGACTATACATATTCACCATATCATCTGGGAGATGGAACCATTGAGTATATCTATTTGTGGAATTATCACAGAGTTAATCAACTTTATAAATCAACCTACCTTGCCCAATTCATAGTAATATAGTAACTTATCATTTTAGTGTTAAAAAATCGATGCTATATTTGAATGGATTGTAGATGGTTTTATAAATGTATGTGTAAATAAATAGGCTTATAAGTTGTTCACATGCACTCTTTTTGTCATTTATTCATCATGACACCTAAAGTTAAGCATCACAAAGAGTTGCTCCGAGCATTAACTAAATCTACACTTAAT